TGCCACAAATTGTTTACTTTTCCATTAAATATTAAGTTCTGAGACAATACCTGTGTATTTTAAAATAGTAAGACATTCAGCAGAATATATCAAACATTTTAAAAATGTATATAGCTGTTGATTTCACAGTATACTTACATGAAACTATATAAACCAAAATTAATTCAAGATGGGTAGATTCAATAGCTGTGGCAGATATCATAAAATAAATACTGGAAGTAATTTAAATATCTTACATTAAAAAAGATAAGGAACTTATAGTATCTGCATACCATATTACTACAACAATTTTACAAGAAAATAATTAGCCATAATGTAAGTTTTTTTGGAAACTGAAGGACAAATGATGAAGAGAACAAGATAACAATTTTTTCTATGATTATAATGTATATAAAGTTTTCTATACATATGTCACATAAATACATTGGGCTATATAAGCAGAATAAAGATCATAATGAAAGCACAAACTTTAAATTCAGAACATCTCTGGGCAGACAGTATGGGAGAAACTCAGTTTCATTTTTTTAAATATTTCATACTATTACAAAATGTGTTACATTGATCTTGTATGATTTTTATAGAGATGTCACAGAATGACATCAGTAATGATTTTGTACACAGGTTGTATTTCTTCTGTACTGAATGAATGAAGAAGTTTATTTTGGCAGTGAGATAGTGAGACAAAATATTGAGTATAAGTTACACAAAATGTGGCTTCAGGTACCTTGAATCTCACAGAATAGCTCGATGCCCCATGTATTACATGGAATAGTATTAATAGTGCAGTGACCCTCATACTAAACCCATGTCATTTGATTAAAACTATATTTTTCAAAGTTGGGAATTATATTTGTACACAACAGTTTTAAGCAGAAGCTTCACCCAAAGGATTAACATATAAAAGTATACTTGTTATGTTGGAAGGAATTGATCATTATTGTACACAAACAAAGAAACAATTACTTAATTTAACAGGAAAGGAACAACAGAGAGTATATGATTTTGATGTGATATCCAGGAAATATTTTGTTCTTCATTTCTTTTTTTTTTCGTATTGTTTTTCCTGTTT